ATATATATATATATATAAATTTATGTCTAGTGTGCATGTGTGTGTAATCATATGAAACTTATAAATATAAAGAATTATAAGGAATCTATATTTATAAATGTATTTATTAATTCTTATAATTTTTTTTATGTATAAGCTTTTTAATTCTTATAATCTTTGCTTGTTGTAAAAGAATTTATATATATTAAATATCATCAAAGAAATATGAAAATTTAAATAATGCATTTTATTCAAACAAATTTATTACAGAATTAACTTCACCTAAATCATTCCAAGGAAGAAATTTAACAGGAATTGTACGTCTTATACGTGATTTAGCTGCAGATATTCATGCAAATATACAGCAATGGAATAACCTTCATATTCAAGGAATTACTTATTTAAAAGACATAACACAAGAAAAACACGATAAAAATTATTCTAAGATTTTACAAGATCTGTGTGATAAGTTAGAAAATATTTGTGATAACCTGGTAAATTTTTATCTTTTTTTTTTTAAATTTTTTTACATTCTTTTACTATATTATTTCATAGTTTTACAATTTTACAGATTTAAGTTAATATTATTTTGATTTAATTGATGTTTTAGTTGAATTTAGAATTATATTTGTAATTTATTAATATAAATAACTATGAATAATCTTATTTTTAGGATGGCATAGTTAAAAACTTAGATCAAATTAAAAATCAACTAAAAGCCATATCAACTTTAGAGAAAACTACAGATAAATTGTTTATAACATGGCCGACAACAAGATTTGGTAAGGAATAACTTAACTAGATTTATTGAAAACATATTTTACACGTTCGCTATAAAAAAAATGAATAGATTAAGTTTTGACTGTTTTTTGGCTAACGTAACAAAATTCCGCGAGATATATAGATTATATATATTATATAAAAAGACTATTTAAACAGAGTCAAATGCATTATAGTTTATATTGAAAGGTTCTGCTGACAGAATAAGAGATCTGTCAATATAAATTGTTAGCAAATTGTTGGAAATCAAGCAAATTCTGTAAAAAACAATTGATGTCAATATAATATTTTGTTTGGAATATTCAGTAGCAAATCGTTAGAACGTTGCTAATATTTTATTTGCTAAAAACATATGTGTATATTTTACAATATTTTGATATTTTGATTATATAATTAAATTATTTAATAAAAACCTATGTTATAATATTATGCTTCCAAAATATTTAGGTGAGGTAGCAGAAACTATATATGAAGCATATCATATGGAAGTCAAATTGAAACGCAAATTACTCGAAAATGTTGCTCACAATTGTACAGAATCTTGGAAGATGCTTCATCTTGCAGCTTGGGTATACGAGCCTTTTATAACTGAAAATTTAATAATTTTATTAGATTCATTGCTTATTGAAACTGGTCATAGATGAGAAAAACTTCTAGTGCAGCATTATATTTTTGTTTTAATTTTAATATATTTATATAAAGCAAATATAAAATGACTGGAGGAAGAAATTGTAATTTTATTTATTTATGTATATAGGAATGTAGATTAAAATATAATAAATAGAGCTTAAGTACATTTTGGTGTAAATATATATATATGCGCTTAAATAATTTTCGGTCTTGAATCTTAAATTAAAATATTATTACTATAGAATAGTAATATTTTGTAAATTAATTTAATGATATTGACACTAATAGATATCTTAAAAGTCTATAAATAATTTATTGCGAAAAATATTACCGTAGCTAAAACTCGAACTTCCCTACACACACACACCACATACACACACACACACACACACCGTAACTGATATCTTTACTAATAATAGTAATAAATAATTAAAAATATCCAGTTTTACTTATATCGAGCATAGATACAATATAAGCTTAACATCAATAATTGGAAATATCGAAGTGTAGAATATCGATTCAAGATGTCGACGTTATGAAATATCGGTGCTATAGTGTCAATTCCGCCATGCTTATTTTAAATCCCTCCCCTCGACTTCACATTCCTCGTGTATATACATACACGTGTCTTTGTTGGATCGTTATATATTTACTAGAAATAAAATTTGATATTGCTTAAAAAATGGGTAAAGCAAAAAAGGTCAAAGTATCTAAAGGCGACACCAAAGAACCGAAAATTGGTTTGGCGGATCAAATAGAATTTGAAAAAGGGGTGAAAGTAAAAAACCGGCAAAAGATTAGGCGTCGGGCCGACGAAGAAGAGGTTAGTTTCAGCATTTACTTTATTTAATGTATTTGTTTATTACATTCTGTTTTTTTTTAAATCAAATAGAGATAATTAAGTTCTTTGAAACACGCATAAATAAATTTTAAAATACATAAAACTACAGAAAAATTGGAAGTAATAGCATTGGACTGTATTATCAAAATCTTTATTTTTTATTTCAATTACAATTTATACTACTGTCTCTATTTTTTTTAAATTGAATAGAGATTTAAGTTCTTTGGAAAATTTTTCATCTCACTCTCACATTTTTTAATTTTAATTTCTAGTATATAGCACCAACTCTGACGAAGAAAATCTTGTCGCAAGCTAGGCAACAGCAGCTAGAGATCGAAGATGAGATTGGTCCTAGCAATCTTGAAAAACCCAAAAAATCAAAGGTGAATCTTGGCTCTGGTTTCAGCGATGACGAGGATCAATCTAGCGATGATGGAGAACCAGTGGAGGATGTGTATTATGAGAACATTAACATTGATGAAGATGATGAGCGAGCGTTACAGATGTTCATGTCAAAGGATGCAGCACCCATGAGGACGCTGGCAGACATAATAATGGAAAAATTGACAGAGAAAAAGACAGAAATCGAAACGCAGTTTTCTGATGCCGGGACTATTCGACTGCAGGATTTGGATCCACGGGTGAAGGCAATGTATGAGGGTGTCAGAGATGTCCTGGCGAAGTATCGTAGTGGCAAGCTACCGAAGGCTTTCAAGCTCGTGCCCACCTTGAAGAATTGGGAGCAAATACTTTATATCACAGACCCAACAAAGTGGTCTGCTGCTGCCATGTATCAGGGGACAAGGATATTTGCTTCAAACTTGAAAGATAAGATGGCCCAGAGGTTCTACAACTTGGTCCTATTACCACGCATTCGAGATGATTTGGCGGAATATAAAAGACTAAATTTCCATTTGTATCAAGCCCTGAGAAAAGCATTGTATAAACCAGCCGGATTTATGAAGGGAATCCTCCTACCACTCTTAGAATCAGGAACGTGCACGCTCAGAGAGGCCACTATCATCGGATCTGTGATCGCGAACAATTCTATACCAATTTTACATTCTTCAGCGGCTATATTGAAAATTGCAGAGATGGATTACACGGGTGCTAACAGTATCTTTCTCAGGATCTTCTTAGATAAGAAATATGCGCTTCCATATAGAGTAGTGGACGGAGTAGTGTTTCACTTTCTTAGGTAAGATATTACTTAAAAAGTGACATAATTTCAAAGATCAATTTTAAGTTTCTCAGAAAAGAAGAAGACTATTTTTTGACTTGACAGAAAATTATTGACTAATTAATTACTATCGGCAAAAAGAAATATATTCGCATTCAATAATCACAATTTTTAATTGTGACTATTTTTGTGAAATTAAGTTTATTTTGGACGATTGATAGAATAATGTTTACTTAACTCATTCATGGTAATATCTTATATATCATATTTTTTAGTTATACCACTTTTGAAGTAGAAGAACGATATATAATAACAATAAATTTTAAATAAAAATTATTAAGAACTATGTTCATATTAAAATATAATTCATTAGGTTTGAAAGAGACACAAGAGAGTTGCCAGTACTATGGCATCAGGCCCTCCTAACATTTGTGCAACGATACAAGAGCGATATCAGTTCTGAACAAAAGGAGGCCTTGCTAGGACTACTGAGGAAACAGTCGCATCATTCGATCACTCCTGAAATCAGAAGGGAATTACAACACGCGAAATGTAGAGATATAGAAATTACAGAACCCAAACTAGAACCAATGGATATTAAAGATACATAATGTGTCCAAATATCGAAGTTATTGTATTAATATTTGTAATTATAATGTAATTATAATATAAAGGCCGGTATCAGATTATGTATTGGAAATTGAGAATTATAAATTGAAAATTAGAATTTGGTGAATTGGATAATATTAAAGATATAATCTCAAGTGTCTATAAAAAATGACTGAAATTGGAAATTTATACTTTCCGTGTAAAATTGGATGTTATGCACATGAAATAGTTCAATAAGAGAAATTAATATTTATATTTAATAATTTTGTAATTTATATGAAACTTTTCTCATTTTAATTTTTTAAAAAAGTTTACTTTTCATTAAAATAATTTTTTATTCAGATTCTAATTCTAATTGCTGTTGAACTTTTTTTGTATCACTTCCTTTGGAATAAATTTTTATTTCGTAATTTTTGCATTTTATATATATCATTAAAAAACATGTGTAATACATCTTAAATCTTTTGTTTTGTTTTGATTATTCTGACAGTTAAATTCTTCTTTTCAATTCGCAATCTTCAATCTTTAATGTATGATCTGATATAGATTTTAAAAAATATGAGAAAAAAAAAGATTAAAATAAAATTTAAATATCTTTGTGAGTCAAATGATTTGCAAGAAAGAATTGCTGTGTAAAAATACATTTGTATTTGGTCCTATACTTAGTCAAATACCTTAGACTAATATTTGCATTATTTTTACAATTGTTACGTCGTAGAACGAAGAATGTAATGTATTGGATAATATATAGCAGTCATATTAAAAATCACATACATATATGCAATTAAATTATATTAAATATATCATTTTTATCAATCACACAACTTATAAATATCATGAATATAAAAATCATGATACTCTCATATAAATATCATGATACTCTCGTAATACACACACGCGCGCGCGCGCGCGCACTCATTTGATGCAATAGGAATTTCCATTTTTGAACTTAATAATAATTTAATTGTATGAATATAAATAAGGAAGCGCAAATCAAAAAACAAGAAGTGACTTATAAATTTACTTAATATTATGCTACATTAATTCGATTCTTTTGAGATATTTATATCTCAGTTTTATCTTTAGGACTGAGAATTTTGTCTTCCTGGTTCATACCTGCATACTTTGAATCCAGAGCAGCATGTCGATCTATAGAAATCGTCTTCATTATTCTCTGCTCGGACAAATAAAGATTTGTATTAATCAGAGGCACTTCAGTTGTACTCAATTTAATTACTCTACTTTCAGATTCCTTCTCTGCCTCTGATTTCTTCGAACTTTCCCGCAATTTCGAACAGGACTCGCTGTTTGCGTCATTGGCGTCTTTAACAAGAGATTCAGGTTTCTCAGTTAAATGATCGCTCTCTACTTTCGTGTCGTTCACATTTGCTTCGCCATCAATGTCTCTTTTCTCGCGTTCATTATTCTCCAGAATGTCTCGACGAATCACGAGAATCTCCGGTTCGCTCTTATTCAATGATGGAACGATCATCTTGTCTAATTTTGATTGATTCATCATTTTCAATGCTATAGGTACAGGATATTTCTCATCGTACTTCCCTTGCGATTTGTCTGACGCGTTCACAACTTCACTCGTAAGAATCTCTCTCTTCTCTTCCTTCAATTGACGATTATTATTCTTTTTAGCAAGTTCCTCTTCCATAACAGATCTTTGTAGAACTCCTTTTGTCAAGGCGTTCAAAATAGGTCCCTTCATATTTTTGGAATCATTAAATTCTATTCTTTCTACTTTCGTCTTATCTTGTTTTTCTTTTTGTAATGATTTCTCTGGTGTTTCACGATCAACCTCTTTAATAAGAGGAAATTTGTCTGGTGCATTTTCTGATATTTTTTGTAGTATTTCTACATTCTTATTTTGAGAAACTTCGCGAAACACATCTAATTTTTCCTTATTATTTTCAACCGCGATATCCATTTTATTATTCTCATCTCGAGGCTTTTCATGCTTTTCATTTAATTTTATTTTGTCTGCATTACTCCAATCTTTCTTTTTCAAAATTTCTTTATTATTTTTTTCGATAATCTCATTATTCTTTATACTGTTTTCTTTTTTACTGTTTTCTATCAAATTACTTTCTGCCAAAATATTTTCTTTTACATCAATTTGTACCTTTTCGTTCTTTTTTAGTATCTCGTCCTTCGCCATTCGCTGTTTCTCCCTCTCGAATTCTTGCTTTTGTTCCTTGATATCCTTCAGAATTTCCTTTTGTTCCTGCATCATCTGACGTTGCTCCAATTTATGTTTCTCCAATGTTTTTCTAAGTTGTTCATGTCGTTCTACAGCTCTAGCATTAGCCATATCTCCATCAGCTGCCAACTCTGACTCTTCCTTTTTTATTGCATCCAAAACGAGATTATCATTCTTCTGTAAGTCCAACGATTGCTCCTTTTCCTCGATTATCTTTATTTTTTCTTCCGCTTTCAAAGTAACAGGTTTAT